TTTCACCGGAGAGCAAAACAGTACTGTTCCTGCCCTCGTGGCAGAGGTAAATCCATGTGGATAGACTGTAGAATGATTCGTTGGAAGACATTATATTTATGCCTAAGTATTTCTTTTTAGCAATTGTGAATGGCATTGTATTTTTAATTTTGATGTCCATGTGTTCATTGCTAGTATATAGAAATAAAACTGATTTTTAAAAATTTTTTTATCTTGTATCCTGCATCCTTGCTAAACTCACTAATTAGTTCTAGGAGTGTCTTTTGTGTATTCCTCAGGATTTTCTACATAGGCAGTCATATAGTCTGCAAATGGAGATTTGTTTTATTTCTTCTTTGCTTTTTTTTATTTCTCTTTGTTGTCCTTTGTGCTGACTAGGACCTCTAGTACCATGCTGAATAAGATTGGTAAGAGTGGACATCATCGTCTGTTCCTAGTCTTGGGGGGAAGGCAGTCTTCCACCGTCAAGTAGGTTGTTAACAATAGGGATTTTTGCAGATGTCATTTGCATTTTGCTGGTATGGGTGGGGATGGAATAGGGTTTTCTGTAGTGCTTGGTTGCAATAGAGTGGTTACTATCTAAAACTTTTCTGTCTTGCTAGAGGGCACAAGCTTTGTGTGCGTGTGCGCACGCACACACATGCGGCCTTCTGCATTTCTAGATCGCTGGCTTCTTCAATTCCAAGTCTGGGATATATGAGGCATACACACACACACACACACACAAAAGTAAAAAGAAAGAAAGAAAATGCAGGGAACTCACCATGGTGTCATTCATTCCTGAGGTCCTGAGATCGCTAACTGGTCTGCCTTCTTCACTCTGCCTTTCAGACATTTCTTACGTTTGCATTACATATACTGTCCAGGAGTTTTTGTTGTACTCCATCTTCCTGGAAGTGGCAATGGTTGGGAGCAGCTAGAGAGTTTAGGTTGGAGCCAGTTTGCGGGGGGGCTTAAGATCCCAGGGGTTTGATTGTATAGCTGTTGGAGAGCTATATCATGGTGTGGAGGGTTGGGTGGGTGGGGGAGTGGCAGAGAAAATGGGGGGCTGTTGCCTGGGTCCAGGTAGTAGATAATGGGGTCCCGTGCTGTGACAACAGACATGGTGCAGAAAGGAAGGAGAGGAGAGTCCCCATGGCAACAAGGAAGTGCGAGGAGACTAGGGTGAGGATGAGGTTTCTAGCTTGGGCCACCAGCTAAAATTGGGAAGGCCATGAGCCGTCTGATGCAGCAGAGTGGGCATATTCCAGGCATTGAGAGCACATCTGGGAAACCAGACTAATGGTGCTGCCCTTCAGGGAAGGCTCCATAGAGCTATAAGTCTGGCTGCTATGTGAAGATCCAAGGAGCATGCACTCTGGGCAGAGGACACAATGTGGGAAAGACACAGGTACGGGTGATGGCATGATGGGCCTGTCGGGACCCCCACTGGCTGACATGTAAGTGGGTCGCTATTGGTTCCATAACTGGGCAGGACGCTGTAGGAGTTCACAAAAGGAAGATGTTCCAGAAAGGGAGCTGGTGTCACCAGGAGTCCGTATGGCCACTTGTCTTCTGTTCTTTGTAGGTTGGTATCAGTCTTTCCTCCCGCAAACAGACCACCCTCCTCGTGGGGGCACCTCTGCTGACAGCCCCAGTTTAGCGACTGCAGTGAAGTGGCTGCATCTGTATATCAAGTCTAGACAAAGTCTCTGACTGGCTTAGGTTGGGTAGTGTGCTTATCCTCTACAGCTAATCACCGTTGCCAGGGAGTGGAGGACTCTAATCTGGGCTGGATCATTTGCCCACCCTTATTGGGGCATTCATGGTCTTTTTAAGAAGGTGGAAGAAAAGTGTCTATGGAAGATAAAAAAAGATTTACCCTGGCTTACTCTAATATGTTTTGAAGAATTTATAGTACAGCAGTGTAGGAACTCTTTGGAGAATTTTAAGCAGGGGACTTGATCAAATTTAGGTTTTATTAAAATCATTCCAGACACTGTGTCTGGGATTGCGGTTGGAAATAAATAAGTGACTAGAGGTGGGGAGACTGGTTAGGAGGTTGTTGCTGGAGCTCCAGGAAGAGCTGACGAGACCCGAACTAATTCAAGTCCTTAGTTGTTTCATTTGGACTTTACCTCCAGCCACAGCACGGTAAAGAGGAGGGGTGGGATAAAGTCGAGACAATCAGGCAACCAGGGCTTGGTGACCAGCTGGAGGATGCAGGAAGAAGAGGGGCTTAAGGAGGATCACCACCCCCCAACACCACCACCAAGGGGGTAATAACTATTCTCTGGAAGGCTAGATTTATCTTTGGAAACTAGTTATTAAGTGGTGGCAGACTTGACATATCTTATTTGCTTCCTGAGAAATGTGAGTGTTGTTGGCTTTTTGCGGTGCCTTAACTGGAAAAGAAAGCTGATTGATTGTATTTTTCTCCCTTTAAAAAGTTTCCTTTCTTTATGAATTCAGATAATAGGAGCTGCAGCTGGGACTGCCAGTTGAGAGATGGATGGGAGGAGGACCCTGGCCTGAAGACCCTTCCTCCCCGCAAGCCTGCCCCTGGGCCTGCAGGTCTACTTTAGAAACATTCATCCCTTGGCCATTGTCCTTGCTAGGAAGGCTTTTCAGGATTTTAAGCAAAGAAATGACCCAATCTGACTGATGTTGTGACCAATTCCCTCCTGAACTGGGAATTGACCATGGATCGAGGGAGGAGTGACACCAAGAGCCAAAGCGGGGAAGTAGGCACACCCGTTGAGAGGCTCTTGCAATCATCTACATTGGTAATGGTGGAAGGAGTGAGAAATGGTCATATTCTGAATGTATTTTGACATAAAAACCAATGTTGGTGAGGACTGGACTATGGCGTAAAAGAAAGGAGACGAGAATGGCTCTAACCTTTTGGCCTGGGCAACTGGAATAACGTTGTCTTAAACTGAGATGGGGAGGGCTTGGAGGAGCAGGCCTGGGGGACGGCAAAGTGGTTAAGTTTGACACATTGAACATGACTTACACAGATCTCCTGTCTATGTGACATGTTACTGGAAGCAGGCAGTTGGATATATCCTACTAGCCAGGAGTTGAGAGGAGAGGTCCAGGCTTGGAGAGAAATCTGGACATCATCCTCAGTATACAGATGATACCTGAATCCCAGACACTAGGTGAGACCACCGGGAGGTGACTGGAGGTATACAGAGAAGAGATGAGAACAAGGCCTGAGCCCTGGGGCACTCTGACATTAAGAGGTAGGGAGATAAGGAAGAACCAGCAAAGGGAAAGAATAGCTAGTGAGGTGGGTGGAAAACCAAGAGTGCTATCCTGGAAGCCAAGTGAAAAGGGTCATCAAACAAGAGGGAATGGGGGCGCCTGGGTGGCTCAGTCGTTAAGCGTCTGCCTTTGGCTCAGGTCATGATCCCAGGGTCCTGGGGTCGAGTCCCACATCGGGCTCCTTGCTCGGCAGGGAGTCTGCTTCTCCCTCTCATACTCCCCCTGCTTGTGTTTCCTCTCTCGCTGTGTCTCTCTCTGTCAAATAAATAAATAAAAATCTTTAATAAAAAAAATAAAAACAATAACAACAACAAAAAAACAAAACAAGAGGGAATGGTTTACTGGTACCAAAAGCCATAAGACGAGGTCTGAGACTTGCTTACTGGATCCAGCAACATGGAGGACAGGCCAAATGCCTGCTTTGGGACCCCAGCTTAACCTTTCAAATAAGTCACAGTTTCCCCACTAAAGAAAAATACAGTTGTGCAAAACAGATCATTTAAGATTGATTGAAATAAATCCAAGAAAGATGAAGACAGTGCCATGGGAGTCTAGTAGAAAGAGACAGTACTTCTGGCTTTTGTGGGGAGGGTTGAGGTCAGATTCATTCATGTCTTCATTCATCATTTATTCATTCCACAAAAACTTATTGGGTTTCAGAGACTTGTGGTGGGGAAGGGAGAAAGTGGAGTTAATTGTTTAATGGGTATAGAGTTTCAGTTTTGTGGAAAAGAGTTCTGGAGATGGATGGTGGTGATGGTTACACAACAACATGAATGTACTTAATACCACTGAGCTGTACACCCGAAAATGGTTACGATTATAAAGTTTACGTCATGTGTATTTTACCAAACACACACACACACACACACACACAGCAGAGGAAAAAAAGTATTGGCCCCATGATGAACTTGGTCTGGGATATAATGTTGGAAATGGATGGCATTTCAGTAGGAGATAATATGGAGAGAAGGGGAGAGACACATCCAACTGGAGGGAATGCAGAGAGGGAAGGGACCCGCTATCAGCTGTATTTGTCTGGAGAGTGGGGTCAGTAGGGGAGGCCGTGCAAGCTGAGGCTGTGGACTCAGGCTGGGCCAGTTGGTACAGGCCTGGCAGGCTGTTTACGGAGTTGGGCTTGCCTTCTTAGATTCTGGGAGCCTCTGAAGGCTCTCTGCCCAGGGGAGTGCCATTCCAAAGGTGTGCATTTAGAAGATTAATGTCATTAATCCTTCCTGCTAAACGATTGCTTTTAAAATCAGTGGGATTGAGGCACGCATTTCTCTAGGGAAAAATGTGGCCTAGCAGAATTTTCAACACCCAGCTACATGTTAATGTATTGAGTAAGTTATTTTTCCACCCATTTGACAAATATTTCTTGGCGACTATCTAAATGCCCACCATGTTCTAGGCGGTGGGGTAAGAGAAGGGGTAAATTTAATAGGTCTCTTCTCTTGAAAAGCCTATACTCTAGAGACCCCCCCATTCCTAAATAAGAAATTGTGCTCCCATATGTCATGTGTTACCATAAATGTCTCACCAGAGTTCCATGGGAACTGAGAGGAGGTGCCTGGCTTGCTGGGGGAAAGACTGTCCAGTGGATTGGAAAGATGAGCAGGATTTTCTAGACAAAGTAACAGAAATGGGCATCCTGAGAGGATGGTAAATCAAACTTATTCGGGGTTGTAAATTTAAAGACAACGTATAACTATTCTCTCTTAAGGCTAAACTCTTATCTCATTGGCTTTTAGGTGGTGCTGGCTAGAGTGCACACTTTTGGACCCAAACTTAAATTTTCAAATGTGGAATCCTAGGCCTTCACTGGTAAGTTTGTTTGATGCCTCCTTACTGAATTATGCTACTGAGGATCGGTATTTGGAATAAAGGGCAAGGAAGTTATCATTGGCACGGCTCTGTGGAGGTTAGAAGCCTAGACTCTAGAGAAGCCTATAGTACAGGCCGAAAGGACCCCCAGGAGAAGTGCAATTTCACTGTTCCTGCGATAGATGCAGAGAGGGGTCCAGAGGAGGGGCATCTGGGGGTGCAGGGGATGGACACAGCTGGCCTCATGGAGGGTGGGACTTTGGCTGTGTTTGGAAGGAAGAGTCCAAAAAGGAGTGAAGTAAGCTTTTTGGGTTCAAGAAGTTGGGTGTAAGATATAAAGAAAGTGGGCTCACAGCAGCAAACCCACAGGAGTAAGAGCTTTATCCGGAAGAGTCACGGGCAAGACCTTTGGCAGGATAGGATTACTCTAGACCAAGGTCAGCAAACATCTTCTGCAAAGGGTCAGATGGTAAATATTTTTGGCTTCACAGGCCATGTGGTCTCTGTCACAGTGACTCAGCCCTGCTGTTGGAGCATGAAAGCTGCCACAGCTAATCTGTGAATGAATGGGCATGGCTGGGTCCCCGGAAAGCTTTACTTACAGGAACAAGTGGTAGGTAGCATTTGGCCCGTGGGTTCCAGTTTGCAGACTCCATCTCTAGACCCTGAATGTCAGGCTGAGACATTTGGACTTTATGCCGGATGCAGTGGGAAGCCATTGAGGTTATTTTGGGCAAAGAATTGAAATGGCATAAGTGACATGCTAAGACCTTTCATCTGATAGCTAGACAAGAGGCCAGGGAGCAGCAGCAATCCATGTGTGACATCATGTGGTTAACAGTGGTTCAGATGGGAGCGAAGGACCAATAGAAGAGATTGCAAAGGGAGAACCATAGGATTTATAGTCTTCTTGGACTTTAAAGACAGGAACCCAAGAAAACGAAAGTTTGGTAGTTCACAGTGAGTGGTACCATTGACAAATGTAGAGACTGGAGATGGAGAGGGGTGCCTGATGCATCTGGTTTTAGATACACCGAATTTAGGGTGACAGTGGTTCATCCGCAGGAAACGTCCAGTAGACAATTGGAGATGCAGGGCTGAAGCCTGGACTGAGGTTTGGTCTGGAGATGTAGAAGGGAAGCCATAGGATTAAATGAGTTCTCCCCGTGATGAGCAGAGAGCCGAGCATTGGGGAGTGTGCATAGCTCTGGATGGAAGAAGAAGGTGGAAGAGGAGAGAGTCCCACGAAGGAAGGAGGAGGGGGCAGCAGAGACTCTGGAGAAGGACTTGAAGGAAGGCTGCTGACTTGGTGACCAGTGGGTTAGAGATGGCCTTGAGGAACGTGATCCCACAGAGAGGAATGGGGCTGAGGGCTCCAGGCTGCACAGGGTCGCACATAAATGAGGGATAAAGCATCAGAGACATCAGTGAAAGAAAGAGGCCCCTCAGAGAGAGTCTGGTAAAAGAAGGGAGATGCACATATGATTTGGACATTTGCATGTCACAGTTACCTTTTCTTTAGCTTTGAGGCAGGCACAGCATGCCATGACCAGTTCTCATTTCCTTCTCTGGAGCCAAGCTTTTGTGGGGGGTTGTCTGTACATTGGGCTTGTGATTGTGTCCTTCTGCTCCCTTTGAGGTGTGGTGCTCACAGCTCTGTCACAGCTTGCACCACGAGGCCCAGCCCATGTCTGGACTCTTGCCATGAGACAAGATGTGATCTGTTGGGGAGATAGTTGCATTTGCCTAAATTGAGGGAGAAAAGAGGGTAGACCAAGGAACTGAAAAGAGGGTAGACCAAGGAACTGAAAAGAGGGTAGACCAAGGAACTTCTTACTGCCGAGTCTGCCCACATAGGGGACTTTGAGATAATTCTTCAAGCCATCCAACCAGATGTCAGTTTGTGCTCTGAGTATTTTGAGTGTCCGTTCTTTGGGCTGAATTCTACGGTGTTTTTGGCTTGGTTGGTGTGAATATAGCAGTTTGAGATCTGGTCATAAAAGCAACAGGTGTAACTGCTTTCGAGCCACCGTTTATCGAACTCTCACTATGTACCAGGCTCGGTGCTGGGTGCTTGGTATGCATCATTTTATGTCATCTCTGCAACAAGCCCTAACATGGGGAATTAGTATTACCACTTCAGCAGTGAGGAAATCAAATCATAAAGAGGTTGAGAAACCTACCGAAGGTCACAAGAGATTTGAACCCAGATCTGAACCCTGGTTTACGCTGCTCCCTATTTTCTCTCGCTTGAGTCTGGAATTTCTCTTCCTACTTACGGAGAAGGACTAGAGAAAGATTGAGCTGTACAGGTTAAATATTCAGAGCCTGTAGTGGGTGTTTCCACCTCTTAGGAGTCTGTTGAAAGGGTGGAGGAAGCGTGGGATCTCCGAAAAAAACCAAGACCAAATCTCAAATACTTTAACTGTTTCCCCAGGTAAAATTTTCCTTAGTTGGAGAAGGCGACAGTCTTGGGTTTGGAAAGGAAATAGCACTAGAAGGCATGACAGTCAGATCCCAGGCCTCACATGATGGCAGTTGTCATCTACTTTTTGTTTAAATATTTGGCATTTCTCTCTGCTCACCTCCAACCTTCAGCTCTGAGGGTAGGGTCCTGTTTTGTCTTGTTTACTGGCACTCCCCCCAGCATCTAGCATGGTTTTGCCATGTAGGATGTACTCGGTACATATTTGTTGTTTCTAAAGAGCCGGGAGGCTTGGGACAAGCCTCCTCTGTGTGCCAGGCACTGCTCTGGGCACTGTGGTTCTGGGGATGACAAAGGACAAGTTCTCTGTCCTCAGGCTACCCATGAGAATGTTTCTAGTAGGGGAGACAGAACAAAGGTGTGAGATGTATAATGGCATGGTAATGCTCTGAGGTAAAATAAAGTGAGAGAAAGGGGTGGAGGGTGATGGGCCCAGTAGTTTAGTTAGGGTCATCGGGAAGGCCCCACCAAGAAATGAAGTGAGACAGAGTGGCTTTTGGGGACAAAGTCATAATTCTCTTTGAGGGTTCTACAGACGTCAGCTGAACTGTCAACACTTCTTCCTAATTCTTTTGCTGGGCCACGGTGGCTACCAGCTAACTGAGTGCTCCCAGCAGTGCGGAGCCCCTGTCCAGGCCCCATGTTTGTGGCCTGCTGAGTGCTCCCTTCCCCTCCCTGGTAGGTGTGCAGTCTCCTTACCTGGCCTGCCTCTCCTGGTTCTCCTCCAGCCTCAGAGGCCTCGCCTCCGCAGCCTGCTTTGCCACTTCTTTTTCCTTGGTCCTTACCCTTAATAAGGCTTTACTCGGTCTCTTTCTCATCGCTGCAAGGATCATCCCCGGGTGAGCCCCTGCACTGCTCACCTCCACCCTGCAGCGCCCCAGAACTTCAGAGCCAGCCCCGAACCTCCTCCCAGGCCGCACCGCTAGCTGCTGCCCGCAGGCACCTGGTGCTCACCCCTGCCCTTGCCGCGAGTGTGTCTGTCTCCCCGTGCTGCCTGCCTTGCCTGCAACTGCAGCCCCAAGTTGTGTCTCCTGCACGAGCCATCCCTAGCTTTGTCCTTTCCCCCAACTGTCCTGTTCTGTTGGTTACCGCGTCCTCCTGAAGAGGACATCTTCTGATTTGTCCACTCGCTTCTCCTCCTTCCCTGCTCCTTCACTTAGGACTCATCCTTTGGATTCCTTTCAACAGCCTCCTAATTGGTCTTCCTGTGTCCATTTTTGTCCTTCCTCAGTCCACCCCCACACTCCTTATCAGCATGATGTTTATAACTCACTCATCTGATCATGGCTTGCTCCTGCTGCAGACTCTCCGAGGGCTCCTCATTGCTTGTGGGGTAAGGCCGAAGCCCCTTCGGTGGGCCTGCGGTCTTTCATGATTGGGCCTTGGGCCACATTCCTCATGCCCTACCCCCGATTTCTAACCTCAGCCCAGCCTCCCGCCAGCCATCCCCGCTGGGCCCTCCTGGGAATGACCCGCCCCCTGCTCCCCGTTTCAGCAGCTCAGGACGGGTTTCCAATCTTCTGGACACCTTCCTTCCCACGCTGCTCCTCTCTGTGTCCTGAACATGACCTTCCTGCCGGCTCCCAGAACACCCTGCCTTTCTCTCTCCCAAAGCACTTATCAGCGTAACTGTTGACTTACTACTTGACATGCTCAGTAAACTGTGCTCCTTAAGGGTGGGGACGACACATGCGTGTGCATGCGTGTGCGTGCATGTGCACACACACACGTGCACGCATACACACTATCTCTGGGTTCTTGGAGCCAGCACAGTACACCTGGCTCAGGAAGTGTTTGTTGAAGGAGGAGGGATAGCAAAGTCTGTTTGTTCAGCCAAACAACAGATCTATAATGTGATCAAATGTATTTCGAATTGGAGGTTTGTTGGCCATTGCGTTCCGCGGGGCCGCCCCTCCCCTCAGCTTTGAGTGCAAGACGCATTGCTGGGGGTTTGGGTTGGGCGCTACCTGTTGTGTCTCCTGGCAAACTGAGGCTTGAGGAATGTCACTTCTCTATAGTCTTTGCCCCGGACTTAAAAAAAAAAAACAACTCCTGTTGTTGCTGGAATAGTAATAGCAATTCAGAATGAAAAATAATCCACCAAGGAATGCTCAGGAATGAGGTCTACCCAGCTTCATCTTGGGTGAGTCGCACACTTCCTAACATAGCCAAAATAATGATTCTTGCTCACTGCTGACAGCTTCCCTCCGCCATGGTCTAGCTGAGGATGCTTTTCTGGCTGGGGGAGGAGGACCGCTAGTGGTCCTTTGTGGAGATACCCCCAGGGCTTCTTTATCTGCATTTGGAACCTTGTCCAGTCCTGGGTGAGCACTGAGGAGTGGCAAACAGGAAGGGGCTCTGACCCGAGATGCCAGGGCAGTGTCTGTATCCCCCATGGGAGCTGGCACTGTGCACCTGGCCAGTCACCAGTATATGTGCTCCTGCTTCCCTGTGGGGCCGTCAGCTCCATGCTTGTTGCACCTTCTCCGTTTCCTAGTTCTGCCACAGGGAACTG